ACATCTGATAATCACGTTCAATTTATTTTTGATGTATCAATTCATTTGACATATTTTTTTTTTTTTTTTTTGGAAAACTATGAACTTTTTCAGTTTTAATTATAATGGATATCAATAAATCAAATATTGATTATCTTACGAAATCTGAAAATACAATAAAAGTAATATGATTCCAAATATAGAAAAAGAACATGAATCGAATTTTCTTTATTGTGGTTACAATCTTAGTCGAAAGCGAATTTCCGATAAGTCATTAATAATTTGTTTTTAATTATTCAACCTTCACATAATACAATTATCCTATCCATTAAAAAACGCATAAATAGAGTTCTTAAAGAAATTATTACCATATTCGCTAAACAAAATGTTGCTAGTAAATTTAAAAAACTCCATAATATTTAACATCAAATCTGAACCCCAATTAATTGGAGAAACTAATCCTTCCCGTAAAGTCCAAATTGGGAGAGTCAAGAAAAGAAGTACGTGTATTATCCCCCATTATCTTGGGAGATTAATCAAGACAACAACAAGGTATTATTGAATTGAATACAAAAGATAATCATATATTCATATATTTCATGTATTAACAATTTATAATTTAATAATTAGTGATCATGTGTCTAGGTTGAGGGAGTATTGCGACGAATGAGCTACTTTTTTATGATACCGTAAGGGAGTAAACAGACTAATCTTCCTTTTAATAACAAACATTGTGTTGTTATCTGTTTCTCTCACAATCACTTCCGTATATATGTCCTCTTTTCTGACTTTACCAAGGTGATTCCAACTCAGGAAGAAATATTACTTCATTATATATATGCCCTCTTATTATCACCCCGTCTTAATTTGAATATTTATTTCGTTTTTATGAATTAGTTATAAAAAAAATTAAGATTTTTGTGATGTCAATCGAACCTTCGATTGACACGTTACGAAATATATTCTTGCGACATCAATAAATTAACACGGATTTTTTTTTATTTAATTCTTAGTTTATAAAATTCTTTTTTTTTTTTTCGTAAAATCTTAAAATTCGTCAGATATTCATTTATGCGCATTATCCGAAATTTTTTTTTTTCGTATGAGATTTTTAAATATTTATGTACCTGATATTTTTTATACACATGTTATAATAAAATTTATTCGATTATGCAAATTTATAAAAGTTAATAAATACAAAAATGGTTTAGCTTCTTTTACCACTACATATCGGCGGATTGCGCAATCACATATTCACATGTCATTTTACTATGACAAAGAAATTAACCGTCAACTGAGAATTTAATCAATTAGAAAAAAAAAACGTATAAATAATGTTAACTTTTCTCTTCAAAGTTTAAACTCTTCCCAATATCTTCTATAAAACAAACATTAGTCCCTATAAAAAATTTTTAGAAAATTGATCAACATGTCAGTTTTTTGGGAACGAAAACGTAATGCGGACGAAACCGTATTTGACGCCAATTGGTAAAATTCATTATTTATTATAATCTTTTTTTTTTTTGCAACGTTAATTTTAATGTTTGACCATCTTTATTCTTCCACAAACGTATTGAGAGATCTTTACTTGCAGAAAAATTCTTCGGCAAGTAAGAGATCTCTCAATACGTTTGTGGAATCTCATCAAGACCATGCATCACAGCGAGTAAAGATCTCAGTACGTCTGTGGAATCTCGAGACCATGCAGACTGTCGCCATCTTTACCGGAGAATTGATTATAAGGAATATAATAAAAAAAATAATATCAATAAATATTCACCACCCAAATTTTGTTACAAATATCTTAAAGAAATTGGGGAAATAGTCATAATATTTAGTCATAGTAATATTTAGTTATTAGTAATATTTAGTTATATTTTATTATTTATTTATATGGCATTAAAGAAACGATAAATAAAAAATAAAAAAATAAGTATATTAAGTATTTTAAATGAGTTCAAGTCAGTAAATGATTTACCGAGTGATCATAATTTTGAACTTAATAAAATTTATTTAAATCGATTAATTTTTTATTCATTAATAAATAATAAAAATTTTAAATATTGGATAAAGCATAAGAAAATTCATCATTCAAATTTATTTTTAATTTATCGAATCACACTACGTTCTTAGGTTATATTGAAATTTTGATCTACTTTTTTATCAACAAAATATTAATTTACTCAAAGATTCGGTGTTTGACAAATTCATAATCTAAGTCATACTTTTTTATAAAACCATAGTATTATATGTAAATACCAGCTCATTTTGAAAAGTATGATAATCATTCCAATTATATATTTTAAAAAGAAATAATTATTGTATATGTGCCTTAAAGGGCGTTTCTTTGGCCTTTCCCTTGGGCCTTTATCTTGTTTTCTCTACCTTGAAAGAATTCAATCATGACTCTCCAATGATTTTAATTCGTTTCTCGGTTACAATATCGGTACTAGTAAGATATCATCTATAACCAATTCATCATATGATTTTTTTCCATAATATTATAAGTCTTTCATTAATCTATTAAAAAATGCATAATGATATGTGTTTTCGTTTAGCTTACATTTATTTTAAAGCCAAATCGTATTATTCCTAATAAGAACTTATTACTATTTCTTCATTATAGTCACGTGCAAGTGTATAACTCCTAAACTCTTACGTACGCACGGTGCGTACGTTAGGGAACCTGGTACTTCTTAACCATATCTCTAATCCAACATGGCGTGATTTGAGTAAAATAATTCATGTATTCAAATATTGGTTCTCTTGATAATTTATATGAAGGTAATAAAAGGTTTTCTGATTCAATCGGTAAAAAATTGGCTATTGCTTTATAATTGTATCCACCCTAATCCAGCAACTTCACACCATTCTTCGCACCATTATCCTCATAGCACTAAACTATTTCCTTGTGAATATATATCAGTCCTATTCTAAAACGGTTATAATATTGACACTTTCTCTAAAAAATATATTGCTATTGCGAAAGACTTTCGCTCAACTATATGTGACATACACCCTTCGTTGTTATTCAATCCTACATACCTTTGAAATTATATCATAGTATTACGTTCATTATTTCGTTTTTCTAGTTGTAAACGAACTTAATATACTTTATAAGATATTACGTTAGTTACGCTAATTAGGTCATTGTTAAAAATAAATCTACACTAATAGTTCTCGTGTTGGTCGTCAATTGAATATAGTTATATTTCTGGGAGGGCTTACAGCAACGAAAGTAAGGGTATGTAAAAAAAACGGAACTGAAATAAGTAAAAATTAATTCAGAATATTAAATCACAAATTAAAAATATATCTATCTTTATTAAACCGAACTGAAAGAAATAATAACTTACCCATATAAAATTGTTAAAGGTGAAAATCAAAAACATTGGTCTTGTGAATATCGCCAGTTGGGACTAACTAACTATATTTAAAATTAGAAATTCCGTATGAATTCCGTCTAAAAATTTTATGGGGCAATTTATATACTTGTATCACAGAGCGAAACCTTAACAGGTAATATTAACTATTAATTTGGGTTTACAGACTTACAGGTATGGGTAAAATCGTAATTTTTTTTTTAAAAAAAAAAATATTTATAAACCTATTCTTCAAGTCGACAGTAGATAATTAAATTTTAATCTTTTCAAATATCGACTTACAAGTTACATCCCTGTGAAAATTTTTTGAAAAAGCTCTCATAAATGATCATTTTTCGACTTTGATTTCTCCTAAGACGTAGGATGAGTGAAAAGGAAAATCTTGAAGACAAAAGTCTAACAAGAGCTAGAGTTAAAACGTTTGGTGAATTAAACTTATTGAACTAAAATTAGTTGGACGTTCCCGTAGTGATTCCTTCCTGTCAGGTTATATGTTATTATAACAACAAGAGAATTCATAATATCATTGAGCATTTCTTCAAAACTCAACTGCATTATCAATTGACCATGGTCAAAGGTGGATGCTCTGAAATTTATATAGCAGCATATCCATTACAATATTTATTAAAGAAAAGCAATAAGTCAATACCTCGCAGACTTTATTACTAACAGACAACGATATGAAGAAACTGAATATGGATCTGATTGAAAATATTAAACAAAATCTTAATTTCAAATAGTACATTCATTGGCAGATTTTATGAAAAAAAAAATTAGCTTTAGAAGAATATGAAAGTCAAAAAAGGCTTGAATTAGAAGGAGTTAGAAAAGAGTAAGTTGGAAATAGAAAAATTACGTACTGGAAATGAAAAAGTTAAATTAGCACCAAATAATATTAGTATTACATATAATTCATTTACGGATGAACCAAGTGAAAATTCATATTACAAAATTTAGGACAAGGAAAAATGTATCAAGAAAATTGAATAACGGTACGGATCAATGCATGATAAACAAAATATGAATAATAATGAAGATATTAAAGCGGAATTAACAAAAATCACTAATAAAGAGGAACAAAATAAAATGAAACAGAATTTTTTGAGATTAAATGCGATAAACAACAGTGAAATATATTGTAATGATTGCATGTCACGAGAAGTTACAGTTTATTATATATATATTTATTGCTATTAAATATGACACTAATTCGTCAGATGACATTAATTCGTCAGAAATTCATGGACGAGATGATGACATTAATATATACATCCTTTATATCATTATGGCTTAGTATTATTATTACTTAACATACTAGAAGGGATTTTCCTCATACGTGGACGCAAAGTTTGGTTGAAATTTGAGCATATAAAAGAGAAATTTAAGTTGGTTTAAGATATTTAAACATTCGATAGTGTACGCGTGGGGTATTTAGATAATATGACGAGCGGCTTATGAATTAATAATATTAGAATAGTTATGTACAGTCAACGCTCGTTATAGTGAAGCTCGTTATAGTAAATTTGGCTTATAGCGAACTTTCTTTATTCCCCCAGTTCACTTACTAATAGATCTTATTCGTTATAGTAAACTTACTAATAAAATCTCGATGTTACTTTTTAAAAATTTTATATAGAACGTATATTATAAATTTATATTCAAATCATTAGGTATATTGTTCACGAATCACTTTAAACACAAATTTAGGATTGGTATTTCACTTTATTATTGATATTATTTGTATAAGGAATTAAATTTACAAGATCATACTATGAAATCCAATAGAACTATTATCAGATAAAGAAATTATAAATAATTCATTGGTCTAAATATACACAGAATTGGAAATTCTTAATGCTTTAAAATCAAAAATTAAATACTTTTGTTTAATAAAAGAAACTTTTTATTGTATTAATATAAGGTTCACTATAAAGAAATCTTTCATGTTTGTGAATATTTGTTATAGTGAAGAGCTTTGACTGTAGTTTATTATTTTTATTTTGTATTACTTTAATTATTTTAATAAATTGCTGTGATTAAAAAAAAAAATTAAGATATTTAATATCAAAAATACTTGTTCATTAATCATATTTTTATTTTACATTGTAAAAATATACTGATATTGAAAATTACATTTATATTGAATATTACTATAATATATTACATATTTTAACCCTTATATTAATCTAAAAAAACTGATACTTAAGGTAAATGTATAACATCATAATTTACTATTATAAGAGTAGTGTAATAAGCATAATAAAATATTAAATCTATATAATATTTTTTTAAACTAAAAATGTTATAAACATTTTGCATAAAGTTTATAAAGTTATAAATAGTCATTTGTTTTTTGCAAATAAATAATCTTGAATTTTAAAAGTTGAATTATTAATGAAAATTAAATAGCAATTATATAATTATATTAAATTCTTAAAAAAATATACAAAAATTAAATACAAGTGAATTTAATTTACTAAATAATTTTATTGTAGTGACTATTATCTATAAATAACAATAATCCAAAATTTGAAATTTTATTTATTTATAGTATTGTATAACTTATTTTTTAAAGTACTTGTTAAAATATAATAATTGCTATATAAGCGGCAAAATTTTTTTTTGCCATATTATATGAAAACCCTGAGCAATATATATATAGATAACAAAAGATCAAAATTTTTATAATAGTTCTATGCAAGGTTTTTATTAATACAAATAAGTAAATTCAATATAAAATAAGCAATCTAATCATATGACTTTATAAAAAATATTTTTAATACAAAAATCAGAAATAAAATATGATGATCATTTCCAATTGCCATTTTATTGTTTTTTTGTAATAATAATTTAATATTTCTTCATTTTTTCAATAATATTATCCTGACTAAAATATTTATCATAATATTTCTTTTTATTTCCTACTAACTTTAGCATATTACTATCAATTAAACTTTTGTTTCTGAAATATGATAAACTATGTTTGATGGTATATAATATATTAAAATATTACATCCTTTTTTAATTAAATTGCTAAAAACATTAAAATGAATGGGAATATATACATGTAATAAAATATAGGAAATATCATTAATTCGTGATCCGCCAGTGAACCATAAAATTTGACTATTAAAAGGTGGTGATAAGTTCATATATATTTTTATCAATAATTTAGAATCTGCGATTCTGGAGAAAAAATATGGGATAACTCGCCTTCTATTAGTCACGGAGACATAAAATTATTACCATTAGATGCGTCTCAACAAGACGAATCTGATGAACCAAATTTTATTTTTCTACGACCACTAGATGATGAGTTATCTTTAAAATTTTTAAAATACTAAATTTTTTTTTTTTCAAATTCAAATTTTCAGCTCTTATGAAAGTGTCTTTTAGTGCTTAAAATTTTTACCAGTCTTTTATTACTAAAATAGCCAAATAGCATATTTTTATGTCTATAATATTAGTTTTCATATTATATTTTAGTAATTTGTACCTTGCATTGCCAGAACTGTAGATTCCGCGCTATTAGTAAATATATATATAACTTTCACTGGAATTTAATAGCCAAGTTTTATGGTTCACTGGCGGATCACGAATTAATAGTTTTAACTAGTTTATCTGTATAACAATGCTTTCCATATACTTTAAAATAAACTGATATAACACATCCTATGCATATTTTATTATCATATCTTATAAATATATAATGTCCCTTTACCAATAGAAATTTACAAATTATGTTTGCATTCTCAATATTTGGAACTTATAAATTTATAAATAATTATTAAAATTAGTAATAACAATTTTAATTTTATTTTATGCATTTAATACTTACTTTGAATTGTATTAATATAAGATTTTCTTTTATTAATCATTTTTTTTTTTCTTGATTTTTCTAATTTTTTTATATGTAATTGTACAAATGTAAAAGCCAGATTTTTTCTATTATCTTTCTATTTTTTTTCTTTTTATATGACAAATCTCTATTCCAAATTTTCATTTTTTGTAAAATAAGTCACAAAGTGATTTACTTTATTTGGTTAAATAGAAATATTGTTACAGGCTTAAATTTTTTTTCAAGAAGTTTTAAGCAATATGCTTTATATAATTTTCTTTAATTAATTAATAATTCAAAATTCAAATTGTCATTAATAAAATATTTGAATTTATTGTTAATTATTAATTAAAAAATAATCAGTATAATAAAATATTAAATACAGGACTGACCATCATAATAAAAATTAAATTTTAGAAATAAACTTAGGGCACTATCAGAAATTACCTAATATCACTTTAATATAAGAGCTTACTTCTCCCCCCTTAGATAAGATATATTATATATATAATTTCTTATATAATATTATATGTAATCTAAGATTTTTCCCTCCCCCTAAAATATTAGGTAATATCTGACAGCACCCTTATTACTATCACTAGAAATGTTGGGCGAAACTGAAATATTTAGTCATTTAACAAAATTGAAATAGTTTAAACATTTAAATTAAAAGACGAAATGCCAAAATTCAATATTCCATGGTATTTCTATAGATTTTTATAAATTTCCATGGATTTTTAATTATAATAATTACTTAAAAAAAATAAATTTTATTAAAATATAATATTTTTTAAAAAGAATTTATAAAACTATTATAAATATAATTAATTTTATATATTTTTATAATAAAACTATAATTTTATATAATTAAAATTAAAATTAAAAATTATTATTATATAGTTTAGTTAATGACAAAACTGAAACTAGTTGGTGATAAAACTGAAATTTTTGCAAAAAAAGTTTAGGCAAGTATCACTAACTATTACCACCATTTAAAATTGACATAACAGTTATTTTATCAAGTAATTGAATTTGAGAATAACAGTTATTAAATATCTTTTTATTTTCAAGATTTTCTTCTAATTGTTCATTAATCTTTTGTATTTCAGAAGAGACTTTGTTAATTGCTGTAAATAAATCAATTTCACAATCGCTAGGTAGTCCATTTTCATCATTGTTATGTAAATTTTCTTCATCATTATTAATATTAATAAAAATTGTAGGAGTATTGTTATTAATTGATAAAGTAGATGGCTAAATCATTCCAAGAAATTCAGCAAGTTCTCTTGCTAAATGTTGTAAATAATAAAAAGTTTGTAACATTTGTTTATCTGATAGGTAAAGTCAAAGTTTTTGCATTGATAGTTCATCTAAAAAGTCAGAATTATAATCAAAATTATAGCTTACAAGTAAAAAATTCAATACAGAAATTTTTATATATAAATATTTAGCAAAATATTTTTTAAATCAAAAATACCTTCATAAACAGACTTTTCTTTTTTAAAATTTAGTTTCTTATTTCTAAGTACCTTTGTATATTATGATATTTTTATGATATCTTTGGTAGTATTTGAATGATTTCTGCAAAACTAAAATCAGTATTTATTTATCTTGCTACCAAAAAAATGCTTATAAAGTTCAGTACCAAACATCCAAGAAATTAGAATAATATTTATGATAGGTCTTGACTAATAAAACTATTAATTGATAAAGAGAAATAAGTATTGAAAATATTTGGTCAGTCAAAAAATTCTGGTTTATCGTAATAAAATTAGAATATTTTTATATAAGCGTTTTAATATAGAATTGCCAAAGATATAAGAAGAAAAAACCAGTCATTATTAGGATCCCAGACATCTCTAAAACAGGTTATAAGTCACACTTTTAGGCAAATATAGTATAGTAGCCTTTATTTTTATTAATTATTTATTGAACTTTACAAATTTATATATAAGAAAAAAGAAAATAAAATAAACTAATTAAAAATAAAGCTATATAGTCTTCTAAGAAGAAATTAAAATTAAAAGAAAAATCAAAAGAAAATTCGCTAATACTAATACTTTTTAGATCTTCCTCCTTGATATATTTTAATCAAAATAGAAGCAACTATGCTAACAAAATAATGAATAATATGTCCACTATTAAAATCGACACTCCATCTTGCAAAAGCTGTTATTAAGTAGTACTGTTAAACAACCTGAAATGTGATTAAATCAAGATAATCCATATTACATCGAGTTTTCAACCAATCGGTTCCAGAGTCATGTGAATCAACATGGGTCAGAGAAGGTAAAAAGGAATAAAGTAAGTACGAAAACTTGGGCAAATCAGAAGACCTTGAAGAGTTTTTAAGTTTTGAAGAAATGTTCATTGCATGTTTAAAATTTATTAACAAAATTATTGTGAATAGCAGTAATCACATTCATTACAGAAGGTCAAGATATATCTAAACTGATGAAAATATCAAGAAAA